TATTCAGGCTTCAGATCTTCATGAGCTGGAAAACCATAGAAGGAGAGTGAAGCAGTTCCCGGAGAGAATGAAACTGTCGGGGATGGGCTCAGATGACTGTGGGTTTTGTCCCCAGGAAGGCAGTTATTTGCATATGGGTGAATTTTCACACACCAACTAGAGTGGAGGAGCAATGATTTACAAGTACTTCATGGAGGAATCAGGATGTGTTCAGTTTGGAACCCAAACAAGTAGTTAACAGAAAGTCAATGGCAACTGAGCGTTTTAATAGGGAACGGGAAACTTGTAACAACAGAAACCCCTGCCTTGACTTCCTCGACACCTTCCCAAACAGATCTCATAGGACAATGCTCCCAGGTGGACAGTGCTCCAAAGTGACTTTCAGAATTGGAGAACATAGAGCATACACTTTTAACCTGTTTTACTCTTTCCCTCTGTAAGAAGATGAAGGAACATACCTTTTTCTGTTAGAGGGAAATGAACTCTCAGAAAAGCAGCTCCCTCAGAAATGGATTTTAAAATATCAGCCCCTGCTAACCATGGTCCTAGCTCTATGGATGTGAAGGGAATTAAGATTTCTAGAAGTTATCAGCTATTTTAAGCTAATACCCAAACAGATACCTTTGTGACACCTCATGGTTTCACAGTACCTACAGGAGAAACTCCCTTCTTTCCTTGGCTTTCTCCTGCTTAAATCTACATTTCTGTCTGGCAGCAAACCTGAGAAAGGAGGCTGATGCAGGTAGGCTAAGTAAAAAAGGACTGATAGACAAACAGAAGACAGTGGGGGTGGGGCTACTTTGGGGATGTTCAGAGATTAGGAGATCTGTGCTGGAGAGCGCCCAAGACAGCCCAGTTTGTGTCTCAGAGTCCAAATTTGGTTGATGTATTTTTGAAGCTTTTAAAGGTTAACTCACATGCTGTAATACATTATAGAAAGATATGAAGCTGAATTTTACTGAGCCAGTCAAGAGGCTGGCTTCAATCTGCTATTTAGAACTGAGAGAGACAGTACAATTTACATGTGTGAGAATGTGCGAATAATTTTACCTTCTGTTGTTTTTTAAAAACCACCTTGGGCCATGGTTTTTAAATGGAGACACGAGAAGATCTGTTGGGGTTCCCATAGCAACATTAACTTATCTAAACTGCCCTGTTGTATATAATACTTTCTTGACTGTTTTGGCTTTTAAATGTAGACTTTAATTATGAAATACAAGTGAGTTAAGACTCGGGGCAAATTCTGACTCTTCTATTTTACTGATGTGTGCATATTTAAACAGAAACCTTGATAGCTGTACTTCTAAGGACTTGCCACCAAAGGCAAATATATTCCAGAATCAGCCTGTGGTTTTCCTCACCACTGATCACTGACCCTCACACCACTTTATATGCTATAGACAAGTCTTCAACAAACCTCTCTAAATATGTTTGTAAAACACCATGGCTGGAATGAAACAGAAAGGAACCAACCAACTCGGATGGCTCCAGTCTGGAGACTAGAGTCACATGCTCTAGTCTGTTTACAAGCTGGCTTGCCCCAGCTCTCAGCACCATTCCTCATTAATGCCCTACATACAATGATCTAATTTGAGTACTTTGAGAACAGGCCTACTTCCTTCCAGAAGCTTGGCTCCTCCCCACTCTCCCCCACAGCTTCTCCCTCCTTAGAAGGGTGACTGCTGCCACCTTCACTGTGTGGTGGTGACAATGATGACTGAGCATTTTCAGACTCCATGTGTTCTGGGGATACCAGCAATTTAACTGTTCTGCCACAGCGTGCTAGGAGGTCAACCTGTTATCAGGCTTAGGGTTGCAATTTGTGCCCCAAGTCAGGTCTGACCATCCTTCCTCAATAAGCCAATTAAAAGAGAATGGGTGGAACTTGACTCTTAAAGAGGCCTTTTGTGCCTAGTAGTGATGTAGCAGCCATAGGACCCTGGGCTGGCCAGGGTACCGCCTGAGTGCATCCTGCCAGACGACAGGGGGCAGGCCAGCATAATGCCTAAATCCTAAAACTATCGGGTTACAAACCCACAATCCCAAATGGACTTATTACAGTCTTCTAGGAAAGGAACTTCTAAGTGATTTTAAAAGTCTCACCTGAAAATCTAAGCATCATGGAGGCCAGGGCAGCAAGATCATACTCTGTGTTGAGGCTAGCCTGGGCTATGAGTCAGACTGTTTCAAACAAGCAAACAAATAAGAAAAAACTTTTGTACCTGGATTTTTCCAGACCATGGCTTTCAGAACTGTGCATTTATTTGTTCCAGATCAGTTCATCATTTGCTGATTGCATGGATCGGTTTATAGAGACCAGCTCTTGAATTCTTTCCTGGCACATCCTCAACTGTCTATTTAAACTTTGATCGCACTTCAGAACCCCAAAGACTGAACTTGGGGAGGTCCCCAGGATCTATCTGTCATTCTTCCCAATGTGTCCACATTGAGTTAGTCTCCTTTTTCTGTTTTTTTTACTTTACTTTGGCTCTTTCTGTTTGTTTGTTTTGCTTATTTTTGGAGGCAGGGTTTCTCTGTGTAGCCCTGGCTGCCCTGGAACTCACTCTGTAGACCAGGCTGACCTCAGACTCACAGACATCTGCCTGCCTCTGCCTCCCAAATGGTGGGATTAAAGGCGTACAGCATCACCACCTGGCTACTTTGGCTCCTTGAATTGACTTATTGAAGATGGATACACAGACCTGAGTTGGGGCACAAGTTGTGACCCTAACGTTTGATAATACATAATAGAAACATTCAGTAAACATTTTGTTAACGAGGGACTTGTTTTAGGAACTCTTGCTTTTTACAAAGGGCAAACAGGGAGCCAACATATTTTCTTTCTGAAGCAAGGGAACAAATACATTTCTAATTGTTAGGAGAATTTTCTTGAATATACAGTATAACAAAAAATATATTTATTATTATTTAAATTGGTATCAATATACAAATATACACACCAATGTAAAATATTCGAGACTAGTGACTGTTTAAAAGTACACTCAACAAGTATAAGTACATTCTTTTATCTCATCATTTCTATGCTGTATCCCCCTTTTTATCCTTCAGAAGGAGATCCTTGAATCTAACTCCTTTGTTTACCCTTTTTTCCTGACTGTGACCAATATCAACTTGTAACCAACCCCCCTAAACGATGACAAACATCTATAACCCACCGAATGAGCAAAAGCCATCCATCCCAACTCTTGGAAATGTGGGTGTTGTAATCTCTAGATTTTTTTCCTATGGTCTGGGGGTACTGGAATATTTAGAAGACTCTGGGAAAATTGAGATAATGGTCAAATCCTGGGAGATTTAATTGTATTATTTGTTGTTCAGTCTCTTGGTAATGGGGAAAGTGCAAGGCTTATCTGAAGACCTGGCTGGAATAGTCTGTGAGGCTGGACCATCTCCGCCAGCAGCCTTGAAGCTGTTCTGGATGTAGACCTCTGAGGAAACTGCAACAGACGCATTCTGAAAAGCTGGATCACCTGTTTTTATTGATGTCTGGTTCCCTTGTTCTAAAAAAACATATAAACTTTCAAAAGTAACATACATACGTGCATTCACACAAGTATGGAATGTGTGGTGTGCACAAGTCAGTTAAAGATGATTTTTTGTTGTTGTTGTTTTATGTTTGAACAGGTAAAAGACATCTGTTAACTTTGTAAGTCCATTTGTACTGTATAACCAAATTATAATATAAATCTCTATCCATCCATATGAAAGGATGGCATGTAATAATAAGTCACAAGGACTCTGTAGACAACAAGATTTATCTTGTCTCAGGGCTGTTCTCATGTCAAGGGATCAGTTTACAGGTCACCTGTCCTGTAGTCTTTTTTTGCTTCCTCCCCAATGTCTGTAGCCAAGATACTCAGGAGGTCTTCCCCAGTAAAATCTGATCTCTATTAATCTGGAAGGAATCCACAACTTTTTGTTTCCTCTCCCTCAATGCAACATTGTCCAACTTCCACTTTGAAGTTAAAACATTTTAAAAATATATAGGTTGGTTTAATTTAGCAGTTTCTATAATCCAATGTCTCTCAGCTACTATCATTTGTTCACCAGCAATCAAAAAATTCAAAGACAACACAATAACATACAGGATCCAGACTCCCTGAGTATTTCCCATCTCTATGTGGAGTATTCTTTGTTTTTTTTTTTTTTAAATATTGCTTTACTCTTTCTTTAAAGACTTTACTATTTTTTAAACTATCTATTTACTTACGTTTATGACTGTCTATATATCCTTTTCCTTAAGCCTATTTAGAGTTTGTTTCCGTCTGAACCTGCTTTACTGCATATCTGTAATCTTTTCTGTCTGCATGAGCAAAATCTTAAACTGCCCTGCAGCTTAGCTCATGGTGCACTGGTGGTTAAAGCATGCTGGTAGCTGCCAGGAGCCGTGTCTCTGAACCACGGATTGCATGGTTCCAATTTTGAGTGTTTAGAACCTTTTTTTTTAAAGCTCTCTCAGGTATTGTGTGAATATTATGTGGCCCCACATTGGACACTATTTGTAGTGAATCTTTCTCTGTCCTGCCAGACATCCAGTTCCCAAATCATGACATGGAGACTTACTATTAATTATGAAAGTTCAACCTTAGCTTAGGATTGTTCCTAACTAGTTCTTATAACTTAAATTAACCCATATATTTTAATCTACATTCTTTTATGTGGCTTGTTACCTTTAATCTGTCCTCCCCATCCTGCTTCCTTTCCATCTGGCTGGCAGCTCTCCCTTCTACTTCCTAGGGTTCTGGGTGCCTGAAAATCCTCTCTAGTTATTGGCCATTCAGCTTTTTATTAAACCATTCAGAATGACGCATCTTCAAAGTGTACAAAAAGATTATTCCACAACAGATGCCCTATTCAAGCAGAGATACTGATGGCCTCTGCAGGCAGTAGGCACATACAGGATGGTGCCTGAATATATGCAGCACAGACATACAGTCAGGCAAAACACACACACACACATATATTCCAGCAAAAGTAACTTAGGGGAGAATGGGTTTATTTTAGCTCACAAGTTCAGATTACAGTCCACCAGGTTACAGCAGGGAAGTCAGGAACACGAAGGAGCTGGTCACATACATAGTCAAGAGCAGAGAGAGAATGAGCACAGACATGCCAGGGCTCAGCTCAGTTTTTCACTTCCTACTCAGTTCAGGATCTAAAACCCAGGGAATGGTACTGCCCACAGTAGGCAGATCTTCCCACATCAATTAACGTAATTAATACTCACAGGCAGCTGACAATCTGCCTTCCCAGGAGAGTGTAGCCTATGTCAAGTTGGCATGAAAACCAACCACTACAGCCTGATGATCTGCACATTTAAGAATAGCCAGAAAGGGATTTAACAAAGGCCACAGTTCCCCATTTTTGGAAAGGAAGAGAAACTAAAATTATATTTCAGACATTAGGAAAGGGAGGGGATAGAAAAGGGGGGTTGGAGAAAATAGATTAGAATGAAACAAAAACAATAAACTTTTTAGCTGGGTGGTGGTGGCTCGCACCTTTAATCTTAGCACTGGAGAGGTACAGGCAGGAAGATCTCTGTGAGTTCAAGGCTAGCCTGGTCTACAGAGCAAGTTCCAGGACAGCCAGAGCTACACAGAGAAACCCTGTTTTGAAAATCAAACCAAACAAAACCAACAACCCTCCCACAAAAAACAAATAAAAAACCCCAATAAACCTTCATCCTGGGCTTGTAAGTTCCCCTAAAACAAGGCACGCTGAGCCTCTGCTACTGCGTGATGAGAGAGAGCAGTTCCACTGTTTGGGAATGCCTTCCTATGCCCAATAGTAAAGTAGATAGTTTTTCTTATTTCTAAAAAAATGGACAGGTTACATTTCTCAAAACTATCAGTAATTTAATTCAAAACCATAAAATTCAAGGGAACATGGTTAGATGAAACAAAACCAAACAAACATATTTCAAGTTCTGAAAACACAGAGGGTGGGTGGGATGATCTTTCAAGTCACTTCCGTATACTTAAAATGTCCAAGGAGCTCAGACAGCAGAGCAGCAGGGCCACGGATGCTCTTCTTCTTGCTGTCTTTGGAAAGAAGACTTTGAACAACATCACACCTTGGTTTCATACCTTAACATGATACATAGCTCTGTTGTGAGAAAGGAGATTGCTAATTTCAGCTCCTTTGAGTCCAGTGCAATGGTTTCTGGAATTTTCCTTGAACCCACACTCGGTGCATTGCCACTTGTTTTTTCCTGTTAACTTGCAAGCGATGATCAACCAGATTTTGCTTTTCATGTAATCCGGCCTCACAGAACATATGGTGGATTTCCCCTTTAAGACAAAAGTGGCAGTCAAAGATATAATACATGACAGGGGAGAGGGGAGGACCAATGTCCAAGGAGGATTGTTCATTCAAATTTCATTTATACCAAGAAGTACTATACAGTTAAGTGAAGGAAACCCACAAAACCAAGAGTGGCTCTTTTATCTTCTCTATATATTGCAAGTTTAAACACACTGACGGGGGCAGCAGGGTAGGGGCAGATTAGAGTGAGATGAACTATGGCTATAATGTTTTGAAATGTGACTGCTTCATGATCCTTTGTTTTACAACCAAAGATTACATATTATCAAGTTTGGGGAAGCCCTTGGATGCAGGATTCACTTGGTGCTGTCAAAAGTACTGGTTTAAGATAAGAAATTCACTAGTGAGAACTAATTTTCTTTATATGTATAAAAATAAAATTCTTTCCTGTGGCATATTCAATTTTTTTCATATCCAGGCTAGCAATATCTCTAAAATTACAGCCTGCACATTTACTCTAGTGTAAGTGAAACAAATGACTCGTGTGTGTGTGTGTGTGTGTGTGTGTGTGTGTGTGTGTGTGTTGTTTTTCAAGACAGGGTTTCTCTGTGGCTTTGGAGGCTGTCCTGGAACTAGCTCTTGTAGGCCAGGCTGGTCTCGAACTCACAGAGATCCGCCTGACTCTGCTTCCCAAGTGCTGGGATTAAAGTCATGCGCCACCACCGCCCAGCCTACAAGTGACTCTTTAAAAGTAAATTTAACTGGATTAAAAGGCAACGGTTATTTACATGCTTTTATGTGGAAGTGTTGCAAGCACCGGGGCATGAAGGCATTGGGTGTCCAATCGCTGCTGAGGCCTTGTGCTCACAGTGTCTGAGTGTCTCCCTGCAAACTGTTACTTGAGGAGAGTTTTCACAGTTCATCATTTACCTTGGGTAATAGATCAGCATACCTTTTGTAAAGAAATAGGCTCTGGTACCATCTCCTCGGACATAAAAATTTTCAGATAAACAACGCCCTAAAAAAAAATAATAAAAAGGAAGAACTTGACAGTTCCTTGAAAAACAAGATAAATCAAAATAATTTGACATGAAATTTTTTTATATTCCAAAACCACATTAAAACAACTTAGAATTCAATATACTATTACCTTTAAAAATTTTTATCTTTATTTTTAATTATGTATATATGTGTCTGTGTAGGTATATGCTCATATGTGTGGGTGCCTGGAGATGTCAGAAGAGGGTGTTGGATCCCCTGGAGCTGGAGCTACATGTGGTTGTGAGCTGTCTGGTGTGGGTGTGGTCTCCAAATCCCCATCTTCTTCAAGAGCACTTAACCACGGAACCCCTAGCCCCTGCTACCTTTCTTAAAGCGAAGCTGAGCATTATCATATCTTCCATGATCCCGAAATAATAACATTCCTCCAGGCTTCAGCAACCTGGACAGTCGGTGGACAACAGCTTGCATCCTAGGAAAACAAAGTAAGATAACCTGTGTGGAAACGTTTTATATGCTAGGGTCAACCTTCCTGGAGACAAGGTAAGAAGATCTCAATAAGCCAAAGAGATCATACATGTAACAGACAAAAACAAACAAACAAAAGACAACCCACAAAAGCATTTTGTATCCAAAGGAACCAAATTCAGAAGTCTAAGACTTTCAAGAACTAAACTCAGCTGGGAGCTACAGAGCTTGACGTCCTGTATCATAGCTGAACTGCAAACCACAAACTTATAATACCAGACTTTGAGGCTACAGCAGGAGGATCACGGGTTCCAGACCAGCCTTGGCCACATAGTGAGACCCTGTGTCAAACAAACCAAGCAGTCAACTCACCTACCTGTCTCCACTTATGTTTCTGCGATTAAATACAGTAGGAGACAAAGGTAAAGGCACTTCATTTTCTGCAAAATAAAACAATATGCCAGAGCTACCCCAAACTTACCAGCTAAACAGGTCATCTTTCCTCCATGTTAGTTCATCTCCTTCCTTCCTCCCTTCCTCCCTTTCTCCTTTCCTTCCTTCCTTCCTTCCTTCCTCCCTCCCTTCTTCTCTTTTGTGTGTATATGTATGGCACATATGAGTATGCATATACATGTTCACATACATGTGTAAGCACACAGCTGACATCATGCAGGATTTCTCATGAAACCTAGGTTCTGCTTGTTTAGCTAGCTACCTTGATCCTGAGTCCTGTCTCTGCCTCTGCCTCTCGAATGCCAGGATTATAGGCAGCATCCATGTGTGTTTGGTTTTTCACCTGGGTTCCTGTAATCGAACCGGGGTCCTCAGTCACGCACAGCAGGCACTTTACCCCCAGAGCCATCTCCTTAACCCCTGACTTCTTCAATTAGTTGAAAGGTACCCTCATCCATCTCAAGATGGAAAGATCATTTTTCTTTTTTAACTGTCCTATCCACGTGCTCACCAATTTTTTCCCTCTTGCTTCTTCTCCCCACCCCTCCCCCTTTGCTGTTTCCTGTTTCCCATTGGCAGTTCCTTGGGACTGCCGATTACCCCGCACCAAGCCCAGAAACAAAATAATTTCCTAATATACTACATATCCTTCCTGTTAATTCTCCATGGATGTTACCAATGAATTGTCTGACTTCAAACAATGGTCCTGGAAAATCACCTCATTGCCAAAAAGATTTTCATGATTTTAATCCAGAGGGCAAAGTTTTATTTCATACCGGGTTTTCAGGATTAATCCTACCAATGGTGTTTCTACTGCTTTCTAACCAGAGCTTTTCTCCCAACCAAACACGACAGCACAGTGGCCTCTGTGGTCTGTGCAGGCCTTTGTGTACATGGTTTCCTCTCAAAGAAAAAGAACTCTTTTTTCCTTATTCTTTTTTTTTTTTTTTTTTTTGACTGTAGTCACTTCTCAATTCCCAGCTCAACATCAGGAGACTCTGGCTTTATTCTTGTTAATTCCTCATCCTGCTTCTGTAGCATGCAATCAAATACGACTTCTAAAATAAATCCTGATGTAGTATTTTGGGTTCTGTGTTCATGGCCTATGTTTTGTGGCCAGAAAGACTCAGGTCTTCTATGGATGCTAAGTGACAGGCATTAGCTGCCCACAGCTCCAGGGAATAGGACTCGTGGAGCCCATAGGGAATGACAATGAGGGTACAGAACTTTTTGCCATTGCCTGATGTGGGAAGGGAGGGAAATGGCAGCTTACAGCACAAGGCTTTGTTGTCTCTCTTTTGTTTATTTGATTTTGGCTTTTAAGACAGGGACTTACACCATAGCCCAAGATGGTCCAGAATTCATTATGTAGACCAGGCTGGCCTCAAACTTGCCTCAGCCTCCTGCCTCAGCCTTCTGAGTGCTAGTGTTACGTAATAAGTAAAGCCACCACACCAGCTCTGCCTTTGCTTTCCTTAAGGCAATAAAGGTGCTGAGGCTTTCTTATTCTGAAAAGATGAGGTCAGCTCAGATAATTTATAAATTCCTTTCATTTAAAACAACATTCATGGCTGCCAAGAAGGCTCAGCAGGTAAAAGTACCTGCCACAAAAGCCTGGCAACTTGAGTTGGATCCCTGGGACCCATGTAAGTATGAAAGGAGAGAAGTGACACTATAAAATAGTCCTCTGGCCTCCACATACATGCTGTGGAACACACAGGACCACATACATCTCTCTCTCTCTCTCTCTCTCTCTCTCTCTCTCTCTCTCTCTTTCTCTGTGTCTGTCTGTCTGTCTGTCTGTCTGTCTCTCTCTCTCTCTCTCTCTCTCTCTCTGTCTCTCACACACA